GTGTGTGTGTGTGTGTGTGTGGTGTGGTGACGTGCGTGTGTGTGTGTGTTGTGGTGTGTGCGTGGTGCGTTGCGTGTATGTGTGGTTGGGGGGGGTATATACAGTATCCGGGGTTAGGAACTGCGGGGCATTTAGGAAATCGAAGACCGTGCCCGGCTGCCGGGCATATAGCCACAGCGTATAATAAAACGCACAAACATTTCTAATCAATTTTGAGGTCAAGTGATTCTCTCTGGCACTGGAGTAGATATCACACTAGGGTTGAATTAACGATTTGGCTATATAGTCTCTTTTGGGTTTACTGGATTCTAAGTATGACCCCTGTACATACATGATGCATTATGGTTAGATTCTGGTAACATGTGGTACGATTATGATTATTATTGATGTTATGGTCTGGTCTGTCAAATCTGGTCCAGCATGACCGCAATGCCATATTAGTGCAGGTAATTATAATTTATATAGCCCGCATATATGGTCAATAGATTGACGATTCAGTTGGCGTATAATAATACGGTATATCACTCGACACAGCACCTATACAACCTAAATTAAAACCTACGAAACACTTACCATAACACTGAGGCATAACCTTGTAACGATATAACATGTATTGTAATGTATTGTGTATGTATTGTAATGTTTGCGCCGTCGTAAACCTAAGCCTAATATAAGCGAGTAACCAGACTGACTTGCACATGCATACCCTAAGTACCTACTATTCTACTTGTCGCTAATATATTCAGAACCAAATCCATTTTACCTCATGTGAAACAAATATAATATTAATAACATAACCCTAGAAACACGGACGGATAATATAGCGTCAGATTATAAAATACAGAATGGAGGGCACAATTTAATGGTGTACCCAAAAATTCCCAGAAGGCTGCTCCAAAGTTTTGCAAACCGGAACCATGTTTGCCGAGTTACGTTATAGAACATAGTGTGAATCTCTCTCTTTCGCGCGCGCGATTATTGGGATACATGTTCTCTATCCTTGAACCCTCTCTCTGTCTCTCTCTCTCTCGTTCTCTAATCATGCCGTACTACTTACCAGCTGTGCTATAATCCAGGTTCACCACCATCATTGACTGTGTATACGTTGCGGCCACAAATAAATATAAACCAGAAGACAGTGGTCTTTGATTCTCGCTTCCTCTTTATTTTGAGAGCCGTTTCATTTGCAAACTGCGAATGCGAGTTACGATACGAGAGAGACTCCCGGGTAAATGGCGTGCTGCTAGGCTAATAGGTCTGTATATATCAACGAGAAGGTGCCGCTAAATAGAGCATAGCCTGCCTCCGCTACGTGACGTCAGGCATGTTTACTGGCAGAGGCCGGCACTACTGTGCCATTGGACGGCGGAACGTAGACTGACACCCGCCTGCCTGCCTGTCCGCGCTGCATACATAACGGCGACGGATAATTCAACTCAACTGATCGATACACGCAGCCACAAGGGGGACAAATAGGCCAGCAGTGCCCAGCACAGGCGTGCTCAGCTCAACGGTCTCAAGTTCTCAAGTGCTACCAAGGTCGCAAGGGTCAGCTGTTTTCCCTGATAAACATTACTGCGCCTACTGCGTCTACTGAGCGCGAAAAAACAGTGCGCGAACCGAGACTACAATCATGTTCTACGCCTCAAACTATCGCGCACAGGCACGTAGACTAACCATCGGTACCTAGCAGCGCCCGAGGCGTCTCGATTAGCATTTCCACGTCCGAGGTACACGTCGGAGGAGTTTAGTTTAGCACGGGGTGAGTAACGACAGGCAGGTGTAGACAGGTAGTGAGAGCTTAGCAGCATTGATGTGCTAATGCGGGGCTGCCATCAGGCACATATTTCACTGCCCGCAGGAGCCATATATAGGACCTGCTCGTAAAACACAAGCGAGCGGGACTATCCAGTCACGTTAACTTAGCATCCCCTATACCGTAAGACACGAAGTTGCATCACGGAGTTGCTTCATGGCCTTCCCGTTCATAAAAAAAAACCGAGCATTTCAAGCGCATGCATTCCAGCAAGAGCTCGATTCCAGCTATCGAAGCTAGACGCGCGCATTTCGCGGTCCGGGAGACGTTGACGCTGAATGGAACACGGTGGCGGCGTGGACCGCGTGGTTCGCGTTTTCACTCTCCTCGCTTCCACCCCTACTACGGGGTCCAACCCCCTGAGCCACCCGAACAAAAGCAGACACAACAAAGCCGATACGCGAGGAGCCTCCGCATATATCCACCCACACAACAATTGCAGGTCGCCACTACAATGCCTATTGTTGCCACGCTAGAGGGGAACGACCTCCATTAGCAGCTCGGGAGCCTACTTAAAACGTGGCTTTTCACTTTCTCATGCTCACAAGGGACATTCAAGAGCGAGCTGGCGAGCGCAAATATTCCGAGAGGGAGCCTAAACAGAACAGAGAGAAGGGGAGTCGGTATTGTTGTACAGAACTGGTTGCCACACATAATCACATTAGGTAAGCAATAGAAAGAACCATCTATATCTAGACACTTTTCGGTTGGGGGTTGGACCCAAAATAAAAACACGTTCAAGACAGCATTAGCTCAGCCATCTGGAAACGCACTTCTGAGCATAGCAAAGGAACTGCTACAACACATACACCGACTCAAAACATTTCTGAATGTTGTGCTATATGTTTGTGTACTCGCCCTGTGCAGCAAAGCTCATCAGACAAGGTGGAAATCTGCATTGGGCATGAGCGCGATTCTGTCTGTCTGTCTGCCCGTCCGTCCGTCCATCCATCCATTCATCCATCCATCCATCCATCCATTCATCCATCATCTATCCATCCATTCATCCATCCATCTATCCATCCAACCAATCCACCCAACCATCCATTCACCCACCCACCCACCTATCCATCTGACATATCTACCATTGCCTATTCCATCTAGCCATCAAATTTTGTCGTCTCGTTCTGAAACTTCGCTATTACATGATATGGTTTCATTGCACGTAGTATCGATACGTGTATTGCAAATGGTCAAATGTATCGATACCTGTATCGTCAAAGCTTGTATCGCAATCTTTCGAACATCGAATATCGAAATCGCAAACATCAAATAATCGATGAATCGTCCCACCCCTAGTGTGTGCGTGCGTGCGTGCGTGCGTGCGTGCGTGCGTGCGTGCGTGCGTGCGCGTTTGCGCGCGCGTGTGCGATTATGAGTGCAGAGCAAGCTCAGAAGATCATAAAATTGTTGACGACAACAAGTCGATTGGCGGAATCAGTAATTAGTCTAACACACCTTGCACTGCCCTCGGGTAAATCCTAAGCTCAGATTAGCCCCGTCATAGGATGCGAGCAGCTTCCACTAGAGAAGAGAGCGCTGGCTCTTGGCCAGTGCTCGCGTAGCACGAATCAACATCTTTTATGACGAGCTATTGTGCTGGCATAATCGAGCACATCGGCGGTTCATTGGATGAGTAGACAAATTGAAGCCCCGATTGGCACAGTTCGCAGCTACGCGTACATAATACATAGTTAATGCATCAATCTCGGCACGGCGCCCTGCCCAGCATATGAAACCCGACCATCGTTAGGTAACACGTTAGGTAATGCTTGGCGCCCTCTACCCGCCCAGCTAGTTTGTGCGCATCAATGTCTGAACAGCACGGCGAGCGCACTGTTTAACCGCGTATTGATTACGGATAAATCCAAACAGAAATTGTCGCAACAGATTGTGTACAGTAATGTATAGTTACTGTGCAAAGCCACAAAGGTAAACTCGCACGAAGGTATACAGGCCTGAAGGAGAGCCACCAGAATTCGTTAGCTTACTTAGTTACAGTCTTGTTATGAATGTGGTAAAGCTTTAATGGGGCAATGAAATCGGTTATGTAGTAAGCGCATATGCGACGAACGATCGATAGTACAGAATGCTTGAAAGAGAAAGTCTTGTTTGGGGAGAAATACACATAGCAAAAATTCACCTAACTCGCCGCAGAAGCAACAATCACACAACTGGAACCTACCATATGACAGCTTCTTGGGATTTACTACAAAGTGCAAAAAATTTAAACAAAAACCAGTAAAAGTGCTAGAAATGGTTGCAAGAAGCAAAGAAATAGAATGCAAACCAAATAAACACAATCTACAGACCAGCAGAAGAATCATGTCAAACGCTAACGGCAGCAATTCAACCAGAAAGAAAAATCCTCTCTAGCATTGATGGATGGAGTAATATTGTATAGCCAGCAATTTAACAGAGTGAGAGTGGTAATTTAAGTAAGACCTACCAAAGGAACAGATACGCGGGAAAAGGTTGGTGGAGTGACACAGGCTTTACAAGACGGACATACGTGTACCGCATTACAAAGGACCATGCACGCAAGAAAATCATTTTAATATGGACGAAATGCTTTTTGAGAACAGGTTCTGTAATAAAAGCAATTTTATTAAAATGGCAGAGTAATTTTAGCAAACAATTTTACTTGTCAACGAATGAAGAATGTATAAAATTTAGGATTTGTATAAATCTTGAGCATTACTAGAGCCGACGCTAGATCTTCTTTTGATACGGGCAAGAGTAATAAAAATAAATGTTGGCAGTTTTTGAAGAGCTATATATCAACCTCGCTGAAAAAAATGCGTGATTTTTAAGTTCAGGATCGCAAATACATTCACACTTTCAACTATTAACAGCAGTGGGTAACTTCGTTGGGAAAGCACATCAGATGGCTGTATATATACGGTAGTCTAGCCGCTTCCACAGCTGGCACGGGCTTTTACATGTATGTACGTGCGGTCAAGTTAAGCTGTGCGTGCGTTCATGTGTGCGTATACTTACGTGCGGCTTTAAATGCATTCTAAATTATTATTTATTGTTCTGTTGGCTTCAGAGATTCGCGTGTTACTAATATAATGCACAATAAGCTAGTGAATTTCGTAAGTATGAGGCCGTTCTAATGTAAGCAAACGGAGTCGATGTTTAGATTAGAACAAGCTTCACCGTGTCTCTCACAAAGCCTTACCTTGCAGCCCTCGCACGAGTGGACACCGTAGTGGAACCCGCTTGCCTTGTCGCCACACACACGGCAGAGAACAGTCATGCCGTCGAATTCTGCAACGTAAACGAAAGCGCTACATTACTTTGCGCACTTGGATGTATTTTATACAGTAGGGTGCGTTGAGATGAATGTGCAGCGCGCCCTAAAAACCGACAGAAAAGTTGTGTGCTCACTGCTTATGAACTGTTACACACTGCAAGACGTCAGCTACTAATCTTTCACTTTGCTTCACGGTAATCCAATTCAGGACAGGGTATCGAAAATGAACGCCATGACCTTCTAACAAAGAGCTGGTTGCTGCATGGCTTAGTTCAGGCGGGGATAAATAAGCTCATTTTCTACTACCTGGTGAAAAATGAATGATTGTAATTGAGATCTTGATGCCTGAAACCTGCAGGTGCTAGCTGCCATTGTGCCAAACACAGCTTAAGGCACCACACCAAAAAGCACTAAAGAAAGATAGGATTATGGCGGCAGACGTTTATTTTGTGGGCAGGATACGGCAAAGAATATTCCCACTTTCATTATTTGAAAATCGGGGATCATATGCGCCACTCTAGGTGAAGGTCATAGCATGTAAGCGCTTATAGACTGCACCCAGAATGTCACATCGTCGGAAAAGCTAAATACCCAGAAACGCAATTTCCAGAGCTAGACCATCTCAAATGTCCATATTAGCGTAAACATCTTTCACACGCGATTTCGACCACATGATAGTTTTCCCCGACAACCGCAACAAAATTGGGAAGATTCCAAACCACATGGCTGGTTAGGGCCTCGACGATCGCATGCGCTGCAATTTTCTCTCTCGCCCGCCCCCACGTGCCTGCTGTGAGTTGCTAATGTGGTAAGTATACCATTCTAGCCAGCTCTCACGCCGTCTCGGCCAAGGTTGCGCGATGACCCAGTGTCACTTAAAACCTGTTCGTAGGGTAAGGACTGCCAATCGCTGCAGTAGTGGAACCTGGCATGCCGGAATGGTGGTATAAATCAGGGTAACCGCAGAGAACGATGAAAGAGTACGCATATAGATGCAGTCAAAATCGTGGGCATCAGATGCAGTAAAGATCCCCACCGACGGTAGCATCCAGTATCCATCAGATATATAGCAACGAGTATGTAGTAAGGTAGGGCTGTTTCTGACTTGATCAAAACAGCTTTCAGTAACCAATTCTGACAGTATAAAGTTATCCCAAGTTTATCTCACGGTCAGCAGATTCAATGTGATACTTTAAAGTTTAAAGTCATGCAAAACTGCTGAATGATAATGGGTTTACTGTCAACATTCATGAAGACACGCCTTTACAAAAACGCATGCGAGTTCACGTAGCACAAACATGCTTACACTAATCGCAGAGCATTTCAGGGGCATTCACAACATGCTGAATAAATAAGCCGAAGTTTCAACTATAGATGCCCCTACTCATGTTGGAACAGCTAATAAGCACATCATCGTCAACAATACCGGCAGCGTATCACATAAACTATTTATCTCAATGGATTATATCATAATGTGGGGGGGGGGTTCTTGTGGCAGAATGAAGCCCATAAATTAGAGGCACGCGTACGTGATCAATAATGACTTACAGTACAACGTGAAGTAGGACGAACAAAAATATACTTATGTGTACACAGTAATACAGATATATAAACATATATATACACATGTTCATGAAACCTGGCCATGCACATAGTAAATCTAATAGACCTGCGCTTCAATGTATAACATTAAAAAACAAAAAAACTATTGTGTACATTACAGTTTATGTGCTCTTGATTATATTTAGCATACTACTATTATATAAGGTTACAGCAAAAATAGGAAAACTACGTATTATACGCCTATTATTTCACACACGATCTACTTCTACGAATGAGCGTATATACTATATAATAATATTTGTTTACATATTAGCATATTATCAGCAACGATCTGTGGTTACTCTATACCTAAGCATTTATGATGACATGACATTTAATATTAGGATCAATGGCATTGGTACTGCTCTTCTTATAAGTCCCTCGACTGCGGGTAGAATGCAATCATTAGATTCCTACTGCTATTCAAGTGATCACTGCTGCCCAAGATAGAATCCCTTCCGTAACATGAGTGATGTGTTTACTACACCTACGCGACAAGGGTGGCATTAGAGATCGACAAATAGGGGGAGGGGACAAGACCAAGGTCCACACCGGGAGGGAGAACAAAAATAATACACTCTACACAATCATTGGTCGAATCTCCACCCCTTAGACTAATGACAGCGTGTACTACGTCCAAAATCGTTGTAAAATGTGAGTGAATCGTAATGGCGCAATTACAGGCTAAAATCGTAAAAAATCTGCCAAAATCGGAAGGGTTGGCAGCTCTGCGGCTATCTGGGTTAAACGCCTACCTCCAAATTTCAAGGTGTGAAAAGGCATCTCTAGCGTTTTAAAAGGAAATACTTGCTATATCTATAACTATTGATAGATTAGAATATATCATTTACACCGATAAAGCAGCGCTTCATCCCCGTACATGTTTGTTTTTACAAGTTATACTGCGACTAGCAAAGAACTAGGTTTGTTATCAGTGAGGTGTCATATTCTCACGTTTTTAGCGTTTTTAGCTGTATATGATTAACATCAACGTTAAAAATGAATCTATATGGTGGGAGAGAGTACACCTATCGCACGCACGCACGCACGCACACACACACACACGCACGCACGCACGCACGCACGCACGCACGCACGCACGCACGCACGCACGCACGCACACACACACACACACCCACACCCACACACATCAGAAAACATAAGATATTTACTGCTTGCTGATACACTAAACTGTATTAAACTGAAGTCAGGAGTGTATGCAAAGTTGTGTTACCGTACATACATGATTAGTGATATCACTGATAATACTCTTGAACAAACGAGCCTACTGGGAATTCCCACTGCAAAGGAAACGTCTAATCAGCAAAAGTATCCAGCCCTCACCCTGCAGAAATGAGGGGCATGACCCCATTAGGTAACTAAGCAATAAGATAGGTGGTAGTGCTTGCAGCATACACAGTACGGGGGGGGGGAGGGGTAGAGTGAATGACCTCTGTTACTAGCAACGACGCACTTGTACGGGGAGCAGATGTTTCGGGGAGCAGATGTTTCGCTGAAGTAGTCATGTTATGCAAGTCCTTATCACTCCCAATGACAAGCTAATTCCAGAAGCAAGTCAAGCCAGTTGTGGTGAAAGCGCTAATTATAGCTACTACTGCGCTAGCCAGTCAAACATGCTTGCTACTTGCCCACATGTTCATCTACTTTAGTCTCACTTGACTGTACTGACACTGCGCACATGCCAACCTAACACTTACTTGATTTACTCAATTAATCTCGACAATCATTGCGACATACTCAGGCCGTCTATCGTATTGACAAAGAGAATTAACAACGAAGTTGATCTCAACAGGAAGATGTCACACGACACATGAACAGTGTGAACGCAAGCCAGAAGCGATCACTTTACATGTGCATCCTTGCCTTTCCTCTAGACCAACTGGTTTTCAGTGGCTTACCCAAGTAACACACAATTTTTGAGGTGCTCTAATTTATTGAAGCACATGAACCAACATCAATGCATTACGACTTGGCGCTAGGAGAGCGCTGCTCAGATGGCCAAATCACAAACGCACGTCTAATTACAGGACTGGCCCTGCTGCTAATACCAGCATGATGCGGCTGACAATAGCAATCCATACAATCAATGTAGTCACAGAGCTAGGTGAAGAGAAAATGTCCGTGGGCAATGTTGGCACAGATGGCCATAATGATTATTATGCGAGGCATTACAATTTAGTACATGTATATCAGGAGTGTATAATAGGGATTATACACTCCTGTTATACACCCCTATTATACACTCCTGATA